GGAATTTCATGCAAAAATTGCTGATTAATCAATATTAGTCTTTCCTGTCATTATTATTGTGCTGTCAGTTACCATGCCTTTGATGTAATGACCACAATCGGCTGTATAGTTACATGATACGATGTTAAATCCTACAATTTCTTTCTGCCATGTTAGTGATGGATCAACTCGGACGGGGCTTTTCTGCGCACTCTGGAACATCCTAGACAGCGCTGAAACAGAGAAGGGGGTTGACATATTCCAGGTGGTGAAAACGCTGCGGAAGGAGAGGCAGGGAGTGATACTGAGCTTGGTGAGTCAGTGATTTCAAAAAACATCCTATCATCTGGTATCTCATCTCAAGAAGCCAAATGATCTAATTTCTTTAGGGAAGTTTGTTTACTATAGCATTATATACAATCATAGCATATATTGTATATCGTGTTAGATACACATTATAGCTACTGTAGCTAGTTTACACCGATATGTTAAAACAATATGAGTACCCCCAAGTGGAGCAAATAATATTGATGATGCTGTACGAGTAAAAACAATGTCCGTCAAGGTCTGAGAAGTGTTAGATGATTTGCTAACATTTGGTAACCGTAATGTTGAGTATAGTAGAAAAGGACACGGGTAAGGATCTGAGTAACTTTGACTCGGGTCAAATTATAATGGCTAGATGACTGGAGTAGATCATCTCTGAAGAGGCAAAGCTTGTGGGGTATGTACAGTCAGTCATGGTCAGCACCTACTAAGAATAGTTCAGGGTCCGCTGATCGGGTGCTGGGCAGCCACAACTTATCGATGTGAACAAAGGCTATCCCGTGCGGTACAAACCAACACAAGGGCAACTGTGGCACAAATGTCAGATCACTTTAAAGATGTGGTCACAACACACAGTACCTAGATCCCTGCTGTAAATGGGGCTGTCAGAGTCCATGCTGACCCCTGTCCACCATAGAAAGCCCCTACAATGGGCACAAAGCATCAGATCTGAACCTTGGAGCAATGGAAGAATGTGGCCTGGCCTGATTAATTTCATTTTCTGTTGGATTATGTTGATGGCCGGGTTTGTGTCAAATATCTGTGGGATGCATTGGACATGATTAAGTCTGATCCACGGCTATGCAGCTCCATGCACAGCAGGGCAATGTGTGTTTGAAGCAACATATGAGTTCAGTATTACAGCTAACAGGCAGTCTTGGTCTTATCAACTACTCTATGTTGCTGGTGTAATTTATTTCCAAAATGTTCCCAAACTAGTGATTTAAGTGACATAGGAGGGTCTTTGATCTCCAGCTCTAACCACAATCAATTAGTATAATATATGCATGTTGAAGATCTGGTTGAACATCTAGTGATAGAACATCCCCACATGTCTTTATTAAATCCTGACAGTACTATTTTAATGGCAAAAGAGGGTTTGCACTGAGTCCCTTAGTGTGTCAATTTTTAAACACTCTCCCAAATCTTCCCTCCTGCCAGGACCATTATCAGTTCCTCTATGACATGGCAGAGAGCGCCTTCCCTGCCCAGAACAGTGAAGTCAAGCAAAACCCAGCCAAAGGAGCGGACTTTGTGGACATAGTGGATGAAACGAAAGAGGTTATAGAGCCGAAGAGCAGTGCTACCAAAGCTGGCCAGCAGGGGGACAATGAAGAAGAGGCCCTGGTGCAGAATTAATCAGACAGCAAGGCGGAGGCTGAGAAACCTACAGAGGATGGTACCAAAGATCCCAGTGCTATCAAGGAGGAAGCCATGGAGAATGACATCAAAGATCCCAGTGCTGTCAAGGAGGAAGCCATGGAGGATGATGTTACTAGTGTAGA